TTCACTTCCATCTCCTGCAACTCATACCGCTAAGCCCTTCCTGGACTCAGAGAGTCACTGTGACTTATTTGGTGGAGGCTAGGGGAGCCGGGTTGAGTAGATTCCTTCCTTGCAGTGCCTCTGAGTTTGAAGGAAAGGTGACTGTCTTTTGTAAGAACCCGGTGCTATTGGCTCTCTGCCCTTTATGGTCCATCCCTGGATAGGTCCTGGTGTTAGAACTGGCAACTAGTTTTTTGTTTGTTTGTGAATGGCTGTTAGGTGCTCATCTAATCTCCAGCTCACAATTAAGTCATTAACTACAGTTGATATTCCCCCAGGAAAGTATATAGGGCAAAGGCTCGAATAAAGAAGATGCCCAGAGGGGTTATGCCTTACACCCAAAGCAGAAGCTGAGTGTATCCTGTAAAGAAATGATCATGGGCATTTCTTATAGAGACTAGGTCTATAGTATCATATCTAGTATGTGATGGACAGTTTCTTATATTGACTAGGTTGATCATGTCATATATAGTATGCATATTAACTCCAAGATTAGGGGTTTCACATGGTTAATTCCTAGGAGTTTCACATGGTTGATTCCTGAGTAGGTAGCATCCAAGGACCACGGACATGGTGGCTGACACCCCCTTCTCTTGCATTCTCCTTTTTAGGTGGTGTTATCAGCTATATTGGCTCAAGTGGCTCCTCCCCAAGCCGCACTAGCCCGGAGTCCCTCTACAGTGACAATTCCAATGGCAGCTTCCAGTCCTTGACTCAAGGCTGTCCCACCTACTTCCCACCTTCACCCACTGGCTCACTCACCCAGGACCCTGCTCGCTCCTTTGGGAGCATTCCACCTAGCCTCAGTGATGACAGCTCCCCGTCCTCCTCCTCTTCATCATCGTCATCCTCTTCCTTGTATAGTGGGAGCCCCCCAGGGAGTCTACAAGTAGCCATGGAGGACAATAGCCGTGTGTCCCCCAGCAAGAGCACCAGCAACATTACCAGTGAGTCAATGTCCAGCTGATTCAGGAGAAGGGAAATGAGCCAGGGTTCAGTTGATAGTTGGTTCCCCTGTGATGGTTATTCTCAGGGCCTTTCCTGGCCTCAGATTTTGCTTACAGTTGTACAAGCCCCTGTCCAGTCCAGTTTGGGCATCTGGTGCTCCTCAACATGGGAGCTCTTCCTTAGCTTTTCCTTCATAGAATATCTAGCCCAGAAAGCCTCCGTAACCCAGGCCACTCAGGCTTCTCTGCTAACCCTCTGCCTGTTTCTTCCCACAGAGCTAAATGGCATGGTGCTACTGTGTAAAGTGTGTGGGGATGTGGCCTCGGGCTTCCACTATGGTGTGCATGCCTGTGAGGGCTGCAAGGTGAGGCATGTTTGGGGTGGGGACCTGGGCAGATGACCCCTTTCCCTGTGATACACAGCTCAGCCTAGATGAAGATGTTCGCTAACTACCCCTGCCTTCCAGGGCTTTTTCCGTCGAAGCATCCAGCAGAATATCCAGTATAAAAGGTGTCTGAAAAATGAGAACTGCTCCATTGTCCGCATCAATCGCAACCGTTGCCAACAATGCCGCTTCAAGAAGTGTCTGTCCGTTGGCATGTCTCGAGACGGTGAGGCAGTGTTCCCAAGTCTCCTCCCCCAGTTTCTGCCCTAATCCCTCCCTTAAAAAAATAATAGCCCCAAGTTGAGATGTATGGTACTGTGAATGTTATTTGCATGGAGGATACCCCTATGTTCTCCTCTTGGGCAAACACATTGTCTCCCATTAGGCCTCCTAGTCATAACCTCTCATGCCCTTTGATGGGTGCATCCTCACTAGTTTCAGTTTTGAAGTGGAACCCCAGGCTTTTAGGGTCTTGCCCTTTCACAAAGGAAGGAAAGGACGTGTGTGTGTGTGTGTGTGTGTGTGTGTGTGTGTGTGTGTGTGTGAACTTCCTGACCTCCCTTTCATCCTGTTGCAGCTGTGCGTTTTGGGCGCATCCCCAAGCGAGAGAAGCAGCGGATGCTTGCTGAGATGCAGAGTGCCATGAACTTGGCCAACAACCAGCTGAGCAGCCAGTGCCCTCTGGAGACCTCACCTGCCCCACAGCCCACATCAGGCCCCATGGGCCCCTCACCTCCTCCTGCTCCAGCCCCCACACCTTTGCTGGGCTTCTCTCAGTTCCCACAACAGCTGACACCACCTAGATCCCCTAGCCCTGAGCCCACTGTGGAAGATGTGATATCCCAGGTGGCCCGGGCCCACCGAGAAATCTTTACCTATGCCCATGACAAGTTGGGCACCTCACCTGGGAACTTCAATGCCAATCATGCATCAGGTAGCCCTTCAGCTACAACCCCACACCGTTGGGAGAGTCAAGGATGCCCACCTATCCCCAATGACAACACATTGGCCGCTCAACGTCACAACGAGGCTCTGAATGGTCTGCGCCAGGGCCCCTCCTCCTACCCTCCTGCCTGGTCCCCTGGCCCTGCCCACCACAGCTGCCACCAGCCTAACAGCAATGGACATCGTCTATGCCCCACCCATGTATATCCGGCCCCAGAAAGCGAGGTACCTGCCAACAGTCTGCGGCAAGGCCACTCCAAGAATGTTCTTCTGGTGAGGGCATAGAACCAGTGTGGAGGGAGGGGGCCTGAAAGAGTGGACTTAGTGTAGGGCAGCCAGTATTCCTGGAGGCTGAGGGTGGAGATACCCTCTTCCAGGAGAGGATGTTCTGCCCTGAAGTCCGGGCTCTGCCTGGGAATCTTTGATCACCAATTGGCACCTGATATTTTAGGTGAGAGTCCCATCCTCAAGGGCCACAGCCCTTAGTCCAGGCAGAATCTGAATCCCTTCTGCTGGGAGCCCATGTGACCCCACCTGGCTGACACTCCCCTCCCTATTCCATTTCCCCCCAGGCATGTCCCATGAATATGTATCCCCATGGACGCAGTGGCAGGACTGTGCAAGAGATCTGGGAGGACTTCTCTATGAGCTTCACGCCTGCTGTGCGGGAGGTGGTAGAGTTTGCCAAGCACATCCCTGGCTTTCGTGACCTTTCTCAGCATGACCAGGTGACCCTGCTTAAGGCTGGCACCTTTGAGGTGAGCTTTTTTCTGATCTTGACTTTGGGAAAGGACCTAGTAGAACAGCTTGGTGACTGGGATGGGAATTCTGAGACTTTAGAACCCTACTGTCTATCTGATGAAGGAGGTAGAATTCTACCCCCCACCCCCCAACCCCCAACCTCTGGGCACCTGGGACTTATGTCATCTTAGGTCCTGTATGTTCACAATCCACTGCATCAAAATCATACCTACAGCACATTGCTGCCCCAATTTAGACATGAGCAGATTACCTTTGGTTAAGTGCCTATTCCCAAACTAGTGGAATACTTCCACCTGGATCCCCCTACTGACCATTTAGACACCTTTTCCTTACTGAGAAATCTAAAACAGCAAACCCTGAACCCTTTGGCAAACTTTAGGGGTTATCTGGCAAATGTTCCTCCCCCTTCACTTAAAATGACTGTCCTTGCTTCAGGTGTTGATGGTGCGCTTTGCATCCTTGTTCAACGTGAAGGACCAGACAGTGATGTTCCTGAGCCGCACCACCTACAGTCTGCAGGAGCTTGGCGCCATGGGCATGGGAGACCTGCTCAATGCCATGTTCGACTTCAGTGAGAAGCTCAACTCCCTGGCGCTTACAGAGGAGGAGCTGGGCCTCTTTACCGCGGTGGTGCTTGTCTCTGCAGGTAGGTCACGCTCTCGCCTGACCCGGGAGGAGGCAGACGCAGTTCAATTCAACACACCTTTTATGGAGTACCTACTCTATGCCAGGCCCTGCACTGGGCACTGGGGTACAGACATGATTCAGACACAGTCTAGCTTGGGAAACAGACTCATGCCCGACTAATTATAAAACAGTGAAATAAGTGTCACAGTAGAAGCATGAACCAAGGAAGCACAGACAACTATTTCTGCCTGGGGGAGCTGGGGAAGGAGGTGACACTTGAGTAGGACCTCAAAGGGACAAGATATTGCCAGGCATAGAAAGGGGAAGGGCATCCCAGGCAGAGGGAACTACAGAGCAAATAGCAAGGGACCTTGGCCACATGTGGCCTGCTGGGGGGTAGGAGGGTGGTCTTGAGGGGTGGGAGGTGGCCAGCCTGTGGCCTGGGCTCCCAGCATTCGGGCATTCACTGCTCTGGGGCAGAGGCCTGGGAGAAGGAATGGCACCCTCCTTTTCCTTCCCCTTCGCCCTCCAAGGGGCCTCAGGGAGAGGCTGCCTTGCCTGCCAGGTCCTCGCAGACCTCCGGGTCCTCGTCAGAGGAGCTCAGGGAGCCTGCCTCACTGCTGTCGTCTTCCCCACAGACCGCTCGGGAATGGAGAATTCCGCTTCGGTGGAGCAGCTCCAGGAGACGCTGCTGCGGGCTCTTCGGGCTCTGGTGCTGAAGAACCGGCCCTTGGAGACTTCCCGCTTCACCAAGCTGCTGCTCAAGCTGCCGGACCTGCGGACCCTGAACAACATGCATTCCGAGAAGCTGCTGTCCTTCCGGGTGGACGCCCAGTGACCCGCCCGGCCGGCCTTCTGCCGCTGCCCCCTTGTACAGAATCGAACTCTGCACTTCTCTCTCCTTTACGAGACGAAAAGGAAAAGCAAACCAGAATCTTATTTATATTGTTATAAAATATTCCAAGATGAGCCTCTGGCCCCCTGAGCCTTCTTGTAAATACCTGCTCCCCCACCCCCATCACCACACTTCCCATCCTCCCCTATTTAAACCACTTTTGCTCTCCCACCCTCCTCTGGCCCCCCAATTTGTTCTGTTCCTGTCTCAAATCCAATAGTTCACAGCTGAGCTGGCTTCTGTGATGTGTGCTCGTTTGGGGGGTGGAGGGGGACTACTGCCAAGACTAGGGGCGGGGGCACCTCTCCATCTGGTCAGCTTGTGGGGTGGGTACTCTGCCAGCAGATGGGAGGATATAGGGAAACAGCACGCAAGTCTAAGGGGGGGTGCCCACGGGGGTTATTTTCATCATATATTTATTACATAAATATATAGTAAAATAGACGAGCAACAATTACCATAAAAATATCTTTCTTTAAAATCCTGACCCAAAACACAACGGGGTGAAAAATCGCACATAACAGACATACTGATTGTCAATGTGGGTTAGGAGTAGGAGCCCCGCAAGTCACCCCTACCGGTCCCACCCCTCCCTGGGGAAGGGACCTATCTCCTTCCCTGTTTCTAGCCACAACCCCCCTCCCCCCACCCCAGCACCAGCTTCTCATACATTCAGTAGCGCCTCTGGGCAGTGTCTCCCTCCCCCACCCAGGAGTTCCTAGGGCAGGAAGTACTGTCCCCCTTATGGACGGTGTATGTGTCACAGGCCCTGGCCTGCCCTCTCCCAGCCCTATAGACCCACCACCCGGGGAAGGGGTAGGGGCTCCTCCTCCCCCACCCTCCCCAAGTCTGAGCAGGGAGGAGGCTGGATGAGGTATGTGTGTTATAAGTGATGGGAGCGGGGAATACTGAGATGGAGAGGCGGTGGTGGGGGCGGGGTAGTGGTCATGGCTCTGGCACCCCCTTGTCCTGGCCTGGCCCCCTCAACCTTCTCCCAGCAACCCATCCTCCTATCAATACTGCACCTGCTGCCCCACCTGGCCTGCCCTAGTGCCCCGGGCCAACACTGGAGGAGGCATGCTAAGCACCCAGCCAAGGCCATTCCCCCATTAGCACCAATGGCCCTCAGGAGAGGGCCCTGTCCCCCACTTCCACAGCAGGGACTGGGACAGCTGCCTCTCTATAGAGCAGGTGCATGGCACTCCTGAGTCTCTCTGGCTCCTCCCTACCACATGTACTCACTCATACATTCACACAGAGGAACTCACACATACACTCCACTGAGGGTAGGGGGAAGGGCCTAGGCTAGGGGATCACAGCTCAAGTGACTGGGGAGGGGGAGGGGATTCCCAAGTGCCTATGGCTGAGAATGGGAATGGAGAGGAAGAGTGGGGCCAGGGGAAGGAGGGAGACAGCAGGCAGATCAGGAACTCCACTGGGCCCCCAGGTGTGGGAGGAAAGGCCGAGAGGGTTTACCCATGGGACTGGAGGAATACAGGGAATCAGTACCCCAGGAGAGAGAAAGAGGATAGAGACAAAGACAGCACAGGTGGCCCAGGGGCCCCAGAGGGGTGGGACAGGCACATGCACAGGTGACAGCAGATGCTCCTCCAGGCCCTCCACCCAGTTGGAACACCTGAACAGTGGCAGAGGACACTGCCCTGGGAGACAGCATGGCATTGCCTTCCTGTGTGTGTGTGTGTGTGTGTGTCTGTGTCTGTGTTTGTGTGTATGTGTGTAGGGGCTGTGGCAGGCTGAGGGTCAGAGCGGGGTGGCAGGTTCCCCACTGCTTAAGACATTTTTGCCCCAATAGTGCAAAGCGCAGGAAGCCCTGGCACCCCTCCCCTGCCCCCTGCCCCATTCCCCATGGCTTCCGGGGGGCATCTGTGTCCACCCATCCATCCCTGCCGACATGCAGCCCTGAGCCCGGGGTCACTGGTCTGCTCTGTTCCTCCCTCTCCTCCCCACCCATGGGAGGGCCACTCCTCCCTCCCTCTCTCCCCTGAGGAGTGGGCTGTAGCCAAAGGGAGGAGGGGGAAGAGGGCAGTTCACTCAAGTGCAGACCAACGCAACACTCTCGCACCAGAGGGTGGGAGGTGGCTCAAGCCAAAGTCCCTGAATTAGAGAAAAGAGGGGAAAGGGTTCCCAGGGGCAGAGAGTGGTTGGCCTAAAGAGCTTCAAAGAAAACAGGAGCACCAACTACCTCCTCCCCTGGGCCCAGCTAAGTGCCACTGGTAAAAACACCCCCATTGCGTGCCCACCTGCTCGGAGTCTGGGTTAGTGCACTGAGTGGGAGGGCGGAAGGAGGGCTGAGGGAGCCCAGAAGACAGACAGGAAACAGGGAGACAGAGTCCTACAAGGGTAAAAGTTCTGGGAGACGTTCATGTCCACCCCACCCCCCACTCAGCAGCATCTGGATTGTAGCTAATACTGCAGGATATGAGGAGGAAAGGAGCCTGGGCCACAGTTTTTCCTGTGTGGGTGCCAAGGTGTGGAAGGAGGGGGATAGGGAGGCCCCTAGGGCTGGGCACTTGAAAGGGGAGCTGTGTGGGCAGCAGGGCAGGCTGGTAAGGGGCCAGCTGGCATCCAGCGTGAGAGGTAGATGGAACTCAGCGGGCACGAGTGGCAGAGAGCAGAGGAAGTACTAGGGTGGGGTGCCAAAGGGGCACAAGGGTGGGAGGAAGGCAAGGGGGTGCCAGGACCCTGTTGTGTCAACTCACAGCTCTGATCAGCAGCCCTACCCTTGGAGGTCTGCTGGGGGCATTTCTCTCTGACCTGGGGGTTGGAAGGGTAGCTCTCAAAGTGCATGGGGGTGGGAAGGGGGTGGTCCTTCCCCACGGGCCAGCCTCAGCTAATAACTTAATATCATCTCTCTCTCTCTGTCTCTCTCACTCTCTTTTTTGTCTCCCCCCTCCCCCCCATCTAGTTTTTCTTCATTTATCTTCTCCCCTTGCTTGGTTTCCAAAGTGCAGTTAGGATGACTACCATTTTTAGCCTCCAGGGGAGGAGCCGAGCCAAGCTAAGCCAAGCTGTCCTTTGCACCCAGGCATCTGGGGAAATAGAGACCTGTGGCCTGAAGGGAAACCTAGGCCAAGGAACTTGGCAGGACTCTCTGGTGTGTGTGTAGGGGTGAGTGAGGGCATCTGCCCCATCCCTCATCCTCCTGTCCCTGCAGTCAAGATGGCTTGTCCCTCTAAGTTCTTCCTCCTGTCCCCTACCTTCTTAGAGGATGGGGTCCTAGGAACTACAGGACTTAGGTCCCAGCCTTCCACACTGTCCTTTCATAGCAAGTTCATTTGTTGCCCTGTCTCAGGGCTGGATTCTGAGGGGATCTGGGCAGTGCAGGGGTGTATGGGAGCTGCATCTATCCAAGGATGGGAGGAAGGAGAGAATAGGTGTGGGGGGGTCACCCTAGCCCCCAGCTCTGTCCCTTCTCTCCAGACTCCTCCCCACCAGCTCCGCACACCCTCTGGCCGCCTGAGGCTTTAGACTTCCTGATCCTCAAAGACCTCGAGGAAGAGTGGGGGGAAGAGTTCGGTGGGGCACTCGACTTTCATGTGGAGGAAGCGGCTGGCGTGGCAGGCCCCGATCATGCGGAGGTCAGTCACCTTCATCAGCAGCTTGGGCCAGAAGTGCGGAATGTTGTGTTTGCGGTGGTTGACGTAGTGCTCAAACGCCAGTAGGTATGCCTCCTGACTCTTCTCGATCTTGTCCACACACAGCAGGCCGGAGCGGTCTGCAGAAGAGAAGACATGAGCCATGAGTACTGAGGGTCTGAGAGAAACAAAGGGTAAGATGTGGGGGGAGGTAATGAAGGGACATTGAGGCAGAGAGGCTGGGAGAGATTGCAGGGACGTGTTAAAGCAATTACCTGGCAGAGGTAGGTGACTGAGGCTCAGAGAGGAGTACTGAGGGCCTGGGGCTGTGGAGTGATCCATAAGGATAGGGAAACAGAGAGGTGGGACTAAGAGGAGAGGAAAGTTGGAGACAGGGGCAGAGAGAAGGGATGGAAACGGGAGGTTGGTGATGGGGGAATGAGACGGGGCTAAGAGACAGGATGAGGATAGATGGTGAGTGGAAAGAAAATGGGGCATGAGGAACAAAGAGGCATGTGAGTGACAGTGGATGTGTGGCAGAACGAAAGAATAAGTCCAAGACAGGACAGGGGTCACAGCAGGAACTTGGAGGCAAGTGATAGGTCTGGAGACCAGAGATGGGGGTAGGTAATAAAGTATGGGATGGGGGCAGAGGATGGCCTGGGTTATAGAGAGGGAACCCGGGAGTGAAGGGATGAATAGTATGTATATAAGATTAAGGAAGAAGGCAAGCAAGAGGCCCAGGGTCCAGACAAATTCTAGGGCCCCTGACAGCTTCTGGGCCCTCTCAGTCACTGGCAAGGTACCTGTTGACATTAGCAGCACAGCCTGCAGGAGAGCCACTTCCGTGTCATCCAGGTTAAAGGCAGAGAGTGACTTGCCCAGTTCAAAGATGGCGTCAGAGACTACGCCCAGGCCACCATTCTTGAGCTGCTCCCGCTTAACCGCCATCTCCCCACTCAGCGTCAGGGTATCGCTCTCAGGGTCATAGCGGACAGCTGCCCGAAGGGACATGATCTCCATGCAGCACCCCTTCAGGAGGATGATCTGGTCTTCACAAGGCAGCTGTGAAACAGCAGGGCCACAGACCACTCAGCACACCCTACCCACACCCTACAGTCTTCCCTACAGTTACCTTGTGCTCGGCCATGCCCATCCATGCCCTATAACACTTAAACCTCACACTTATGCCTAAGAGTGAGGTCCCATCATTCTTCCAGTCCACTTCAAAGAAACTGAAGTGCAGGGCATTTTGGTACCTTGGCCAAGGTCTCATAGCTAATACAGAAGCCTGTTTCCAGTTAGTGCTGTGCAGAGTGAAGAGATGAGTCATGCTGCCTGAGGTAGAATAGTTACTCTGCACTCTGTGTGTCTGTGTGTATGTCCCCACATGTGTGTTCATGCCCTCATGTGCTGTTTGTTGCTCTACAAGAATCATTCCCTAAGCCAGGCATGCATGGTGCCACATGCCTTTAATCCCAGCACACAGGAGGCAGAGGCAGGCAGATCATTGTGATATCAAGGCCAGCCTGGTTTATAAGTGAACTCCAAGCTAGCTGGGGTTACAGGAAGACCCTGTCTCAAAAACCAACCAACCACCACCACCAACAACAACAACAGGAATCATTCTCTGTCTGGAGAACCATAGAGGAGCATCCAGTGAGGCTAGGTGACCTGGGTAGTTGCCCTAGGTTCCCTCTGGTATGACTCCGTGTCTCTCCTTCCATTTAGTACTCACCTCGGAGAACATGGGCAGTTTTTTGGCAAAGTCCACCACACGAGTGATGGCTGGGGTGATGATCTTGGTAAACTCGCTGAAGGCCTCTAGGTCTACCTTGTCTCCATCCGGCATGGAGACGATGGGTGACTGGCCAATGTCATCCGGCTGGAGGAAGAGATCAAGGTCAGCTAGGGGTACAGACCCCCTTCAGTTTTTCACTGAGGCTCCCAGCCCACAAGGGGGAGCTCTAAGGCAGCTTGGGGAAAAGGGCCCAGCCAGGACTGGTCAGGACAGCTGTGTCCCAGCCTTGAGGCTTCAACCTTGGGGCAGAGGAGAGATCTGAACTGAACAAGTGCTTCAAGTCTGATGATGATGATGATGATGATGATGACGACGACGACGATGAGAACAGTAATAAGAATGTAATAAAAATGAAGCCATAATGATTGAAAATATGTTGCTGGCATTAGGTTGGCTACACATTCTATATATCTGATTTTTAATCCTCACCACAAACCTATATGGAAGGGAGAATTATCAACATTTCATAGACTAGGAAATTGAGGCCTGACGCAGCTAAGCAGTATGGTCAAAGTCACATGACTAGTACTTTACAAATACATCTGCTTGGGAGCTGGCTGCTCTTGCAGAGGACCTGGGTTCAGTTCCCAACACCTACATGGTAGCTAACAGCTGTCTGGTAACTCCAGTTACAGGGGATCTGATGCCCTCTTCTGACCTCCAAGGGCATTGTATAACAAGGGTTCACTTATATACATGTAGGCAATACACCCATACACATGAAATAAAAATAATAAATAAAATATTTTAAAAAACAAGAATACCTGCTTGGCACTGGGGCACATTCTTAGTGCAGTACACTATCAGGGAACAGGCCCCAGTTGTCCATCTCCCAAACTGATCATCTACTTGGCAGTAATTTCTTTTTGTCTTTTCAGGGTTTTTTTTTTTTCCCCTTCCCATGGTCCCTGTGGGTAAGCCCGGCCCTGGAAGTTCAGAGGGTAAAGCCCTGCTCTCATAGAACACCCCATCAGATGGAACAATCAGGGCTCAGAAAGCACAGCCATGTACATAGGTGTACAAAATCGGGACTGCCAAGGGGTAAAGAGTATCAGCTTCGGGTTGGACTAAACTGGTGAGGCTTCCTGGAGAGGCAAGCCTCTGAGCTTGTTCTGTTCATGTCTTCTCCTTACCAGGAATTTCCGTCTCTGCTTCCAATGGCTGCCCTGGGCATTGGTGCTGCGATGGGCCTCTGTCGCAACATGGATCAGGTCCCACTCTTCAGGAGTGGGCTCTGGTCTCTGCTGCAGTGATCGTATCATCTCCTCTTTCCGCCGCCGTTCCCGATTCTGCTCGATCAGCTTGCGTTTGGCCACCCGCTTTGAATCATCTAGAACCACTGTTGATAGACACAAGACCTTTTGCATGGTACCCTCCCACCCCATCCATAGTCCTTTTAGAAACCACTCTAATGCAAAGGTCTAGTGGCTTCCCAATCACTCAGCAGTGGGGAGGCACAATACAGACCACGTTTTATCACTGGGACCATGTCAACTCCAATTTGGGCTGACTCTGAAGAATATCACGCTCTGGTCTAATGTGCTATGGTGAGGACAGTTGCTAGCATCCTGCTACCCAAATCACAGCTGAGGAATGAGGCTTCCCTCACAGATGTGGGGTGCCTTCTCTGAGGTACAGGAACCCTGCTAGGTTGGGTGCTTAGGAGTCTTTAAGCAACAACTCCCTCTCCAAGGCTCTCAAATGGTAAGAATCATCAGCTCATACAGGAACTCCATTTCCTTTGAGATGAGGGCACCTGTGATTAAGACTCTGAATACCTTACAATCAGCCTGACCTGGACTGATTGTCACTCTACCCTAAGTGTACCCTGGAAGGGAACTGCTACCTTTGAACTTAGCCCAACCACAGCAGCCTAGCTCTACTCCCCCACTGGTGCCTCTTACAGTCCATGGCCATGCCCACAGCGATGCACTTCTTGAAGCGGCACAGCTGGCACTGATTCCGGGTAATCTTGTCGATGACACAGCAGCTGTCATATTTGCAGGAATAAGTGGGATGGAGGTTCTTCTGGATTGTGCGTCGAAAGAAACCCTAGGGTGGGGGCATACAGAGCAGGTTCTCATGAAGACTAATCCCTTCTGAACCAACTAGACAGTTCACAGAGTGGGGCTGGACTGAGGAAGGCAAGTGTCACCTGGCACTCCTGTCACTGCAGGCCCAGGATTTCTGGGCTCTACCAGGCCAAAGGACCTGAGAAATACATGCCCTCAACCCCCAGGCTACAGAGGGATGAAGGGCATCTATGGTGGCAGAGGTAAAAATATTATCTATAGTAGGCAGTGCTGGGCCTGGGGTGCTATGGAGGGCTATGAGGCCTGAAGGAATAGCAACTTTGGAAGTCCACTTTAAAAAAATTTTTGTAATTAATTTTTTGGGGGTCTTTTTGAAACAGGGTCTCCCTGTAGCCTTAGCTGTCCTGGAACTCACTATATAGACCAGGCTGGATTTGAACTCACAGAGATCCGCCTGCCTCTGCCTCCCAAGTGCTGGGACTACAGGCATAGGCCACCAAGACTAGCCTGTAATTAATTTATTTTTGAGGCAGGGTCTTGTGCAGCCCAGGCTGGTCTCCAAGTTACTATGTAGCCAAGGATGACTTTGAACTTCTGATCCTTCTGCCTCTATCTCTGGAGTGTTGGAATTACAGACATGTACAACCACACCTGCATTATGTGGTTTGAGGGTTGAATCCAGGGTTTTGGGTAAGCTAAGCAAGCACTCTACCAACTGAACTATAGCCTCAGCCCCAGGAAGCCGAATTAATACTTTGGCTTCCATGCTGCTAAATGACTGTAAAATCAACACTGACCCCAATAGCATTCTCATATACAGTTGCCTATTGTCCATATAGATGGAATTTATGAAACAGGAAGATCAAAAGCAAAGAAAATGGGACTGGGTATGATGGTGCACGCCTTTAATCCCAGCACCCGGGAGGCAGGTGAATCTCTGTGAGTTTGAGGCCAGCCTGGTCTACATAGGGACAAAGGACAGTCAGTGCTGCATAAGAATTAATAAATAATGTCACGAAAATGCATTGGATATGAACTCTAGTAACTTGTAAAGAAAATTTTCAATTCTTTGTTTCAGGCTTTATTTTAAAGGCAAAATCTAAAGAATCAGGATCACAGCAGCATGAAGTACTGACAACGGTTGAGTGTTACTATGTGCTGGGCACTTAGTAAAGATATGCCTTTCATATGTCATAAATCATTACATTTGATTTTGATGACAACTCTATGAGGTGGACCTGTCACGGTCTGCATGCTGCAGACTAGGAAAAGGAAACCTGGAGAGATCCATCTGTTTGCCCCAAGTTATCCAGTTAAATGGGTAGCAGACCAAGAACTGGACTTTGGACAGAAGACACCAAGATCTGAGATTTCAGGTCTAGGGTATATTAACCTCACCTGCTTACTGTACCAAAGATACAGATTCCTGGGCCTCATTCTAGACCAAACTCTGGAGGTGGCATCAGGGCATCTCTATCTTTTGGAGATGTTCCCCCTGGGACCCAGATGTCCTTGGAGCTAAGGATCCTTGCTCTTGGTTACACCTCTGTTATTATTTCCAGGAACACTGCTATACAACTCTAAATCTCTATTGGTTTTGGTTTGGCTTGCATTGAGAGGAAAAACTTCAAGCTTTCATATTGTGCTTATGTCTTTCTGTGTTTGTTTGCTTGAGATGGAGTCTCATGTAGCTCTGGTGGACTTCAAGCCCACTATTGACTAACAATGACGTTGAACTCCTGATCCTTCTGTTTCCATCCTGAACACAGAGCATGTACCATCATGCCTAGTTTCACTTTATTTTTTTAATTTTATGTATATGAGTGTATTACCTCCATGTATGTAAGTGCACCTGTGTCATGCAATGCCCATGGATGTCAGAAGAAGGCATTGAATTCCCCTGGAACTGGAGTTACGGATGGCTATTAGCTGCCATGTAGGTGCTGGGAATCGAATCTGGGTCCTCTGTAAAAGCAGCCAGTGCGCTTAACTGCTCAGCCATTTCTCCAGCCCCCTGGTTTTACTTTAAAACATTTTTTAAAATATTTTCTTTTTATTTTATGTGTATGAGTATATTGCCTGCATGTATTGTAAGTGTACCCAGGTCATGCAATGCTCAAGGAGGTCAGAGGAGGGCGTTGGATTCCCCTGGAACTGGAGTTAGGGATGGTTGTTAGCCACCCTGTATGCTGGGAATCAAACCCAGGTCCTCTGCAAGAGCAGCCAGTACTCTTAACCACTGAGCCATCTCTCCAGTCCCTGGTTTCACTTATTTATAAATGATCTTTTTCTTCTTTTTTTAAGGTTTTTAAAGTTTTAATTTATTTTATGAGTATTTTGCTATATGTATGTTATGTGTATCACGTGCTTGCCTAGTGCCCACAGAGGCCAGAAGAGGGCATGGAATCCCTAGAACTGGAGTTACAGGTAGTTGTGAGCCACTCTGTGGGTGCTAGGAACCAATCCCAGGTCCTCTGCAAGAGCAGCAAGTGCTCTTAACTGCTGAGTCATCTCTACAGCCCCTGATCTGTTTCTTCAGAGATATACATTTGCAGAGGCTTGACCCTGTGCTAGGGAGAACCTGTGGTTTTCTCTGCATCCTCATTATGAACAACCATCAGCAGGAGTTCTCACCTTTTCGGGAATATTGAAAGCACTCGAGGGTGGGGGTGGGGTCCTATGAAAGGTAGAGTCCTAGACTCCAGCACAATAAGGTTTAGATTAAGTAGAAATGGAAGCAGCCTAGGAATCTGCATTGTAGCTAGTACTTCAGGTGGTCCATGAGTCATATATTTGTGAGGAAGGAGGATGTTGTATGTGTGTACACATGTGGTGGCCAGAGTTTGACATCAGGTATCTTCCTCAATTGCTCTCCATCTTTATTTTTATTGAATTTTTGTGATTTTTTATTCTTCACCTTATTTTTTGAGCCAGGTTCTCTCAGTGACCCTAGAGCTTACCAATTTGCTAGGTTGGCTGGCCAGTGGGCCCCAAGGATCCTCCTGTCTCTGCCTCCAGGTGTTGGATTATAGCCTGGCTTTTTTGTTTTGATTTATTTATTTATTTATTTATTTATTATTAATTAATTAATTAATTTATTTATTTAATCGATTTATTTATTTTGAGACAGGGTCTCCCCTGTAGCCGCAGCTAGCCTGGAACTGTACCAGGTACAGCTGAAAGTGCTGGGATTAAAGGCATGTTGCCACTGCACCTGGCACTCACTTTCCTTTTTTGAGACAAGGTTTTGCTATGTAGTTGAGACTGGCCTGGAACTTAGTACATAGTCCAGGGTGACCTTGAACTCATGATCCTCCTTCATCAGTCTTCAAAGTGCTGTAATTATAGGTGTGCTGTACACACCTTGGCTTCCCACCCCTCACTCCTAACACACTGTAAGGATGGATGATAGCTGACACTTACGGAAGGCTTCTTATGTGCCTGGCACTGTTTTAGACACTCCCTAGCACAGTCACCATTCTTACCTCTGCATGCCCATCTCCCACCCATCTGCAGTGTTTAAAACAGTGCCCGGTGAATTATCTCATTTAATTCTCTCAATAACTCTAGTATAACTATCTCCATTTTACAGATGAAGAAACTGAGGCTCAGAAAGGTTAGGCAAATTGCCTATGAGTAGCAGAGAAAGGATTATGAATGAACAAATGAATGAATGAATGAATGAATGAGAAGAAAAATACAACAGGTAGGCTTTAAGTTACATGTTTATGGAGACTGTCATGCCGTCATGTCATGCCAGGTGTGGAGACTCAAAGGGAGTGAGACAGGGGATTGGGCAATGGGGAAGGGGTAGGAGATGGCTCCTCCATACCTTGCAGCCCTCACAAGTGATACAGCGGTAGTGATAACCGGTTGCCTTGTCCCCACACACGACACACTGTTCGTCTTTGTCCAGGTAACTAGGGATATACCCTGGGAGGGAGGAAATGGTGGAGGCAGTGGGCATGATGTGGAGCCCAGCAGAGAGGCTGCTAGACTGTACCCACCCCTCACTTTGCCTTTCTCATTCATCTCCTAGCCCAGCTTCACTGAAGGGTTCTTTGTCTCATAGTAGAAAGGAAGAATCCTGGAGACACACTGGAGGGAAACTTGTCCATCCCTTTCCCTACAAATATACTGAATCTTAGATCTTTTGACTGCCCATTCAGGGCCCCTTCCTTCCTTCCTTGCCCCCCTCCCTCCCTCCTTTCCTTCCTTCCCTTTTTTTTTTTTAAGCCTGGCTCTCACTATGTTGCCCAGGTTGGCACTGAAATCCTGGGTTCAAGTGATCCTCCTGTGTCAGCATCACGGATCACAGTACCTGACCTGAGTAGGGAATTTATTTATTTATTTATTTATTTATTTATTATTTATTTATATTTAAATGTTACATCTAAATGACAGAATAGCAGAGGAAAACAAACCACCCCCCCCCAAAGGAATAACCCATCTCAGGAGAATAGAGCCCCTGCCTTGGTCCTCAGCTTAGGCCCTGATTCTGGGGGGCCTTCAGTGAGGGAGTTATGGGAGAATGGAAGAGGCCCTCCCTAATCTAATTCCTCCTCAAAGGCCAGGGCACGTCCCAAATCACTATTCTCACCCCCATCCAAATCTAACCCACACTCTGTAGGCTGTTTACTCCTGAGATGCAGGGGGTTCAGGCCTAGGCACAGAGGTAGCCAAGTTGTGCTTTGCAGGATTGGGATAGGAAGTGGGGGGACACATCAGCCCAGCTCACCTGACATGCTGGTTTTCAGGGAACATTGGCCGTTCTTTCTTTTTCGCTTTCCATCTGGTGACCTGGTACTAGATGGGGGCAAAGTGGGTAGAATCACAGAGTAGTCACTGTACAGTCCCTGCTCATCCAAGAGGGTTCTGTAATCCCCCAGGTCCCATTCCCTCCATCTTCTGTCTTTAGTCTACCTCCTACCCCCATGTCAGCTGACAAAGCTTACAAGGGTCTACCTATCTGGTAGCTGCATGGGAGTGATAAAGGCCTTGGCCAGGGCCAAGAACATGTTCTAGGGCCCCAACACAGTCACACAAGCATTGTTATAAGGCCCCAACACACACATACACATATACACACACACACCCATCACATAAGTAAGTACTGTTCTAAGGCCCAACATGTACACACACATGTATATATACATTACAGACTTTAAACACCCACAGTCTACAGGACGTCCACATATTTAAGCAATCAGTATATGACAAATATGTTAAAGGAAACCTCAGAATATTCTTAAAGCTTCATAACCTTTAGAACACATATGGATGCAGTACGACACCCACGGATGTGAATAACTATGCAGCCTTCAGTATAAACCCAAGTATGGTAATAAGCTTTAGTATCTATATATCTATGCAACTTTCAGGTCATTCTCAACATTTTATATGACCTGTAGGATGTACCCATGTGTTATACAACCCTCCGGACAGGCACCTACTAGTGTAACCTCTCTCTCCAGTATGAACATGTTGCTTTTCAGGTCATGCACACATGCTAGTGTTTAAAAATACTAGAGTCACCCTGTTCACAGCCTCATTTAACAAATCAGCAAACTGAGGTGCCATTCATGGATTGTGACACCATGCACTGCAGTCAGTCAAGACGAGGACCCTGAGCTCCTCCATGCAAATATTATTAGCAACTTTCAGCCACTGCACATACATGTTGCCTGGTTCTCCACATATGTGTTACATAACCTCAATACACACAGGTTACATAAGCGTCTACACGCATGCAAGGATTGTATAAATTTCCACACCCACCCTACTCATGGCATGTTGCAGGGCCCCTTCTCCTAGAGCCAGATGCAGCTCCCAACATACTGACACAGTGACCTTGGCCAGGGTCATAGTCACAGACAGCCTTGTGCTCCACAGGCCCTGGGGATTACCCCTGTCTGGTTCCTACAAGGCTGGAAGGTCAGGCGTCTCTCTGCCTCCCGGAAGGGGTAAGAGCGTGGGAGGGGGGGCGAGCGG